ACTTAACAGCGTTGCTGTCAGTTGAAATTTTTCTCTTAAAATAGTATTTTAAATAATAGGCTTCTCAAATCCACTATCTATTATCGCCCTTTCTAGTGTTGATGGTGAGGGATCCTTCCTAACATTTTGTTGATGAGAAAGTCGTAATCTTTATTACATCATTATTCTCTCTTTGAGTACTTTCTATTTTAGTTGTTGCTGCTGTTAAACGTCTTCATGTGATGTTGCTTTTGTTATATGGTAAAGTTATTTGTGATTATGTTATCAGTGTTTTCGGGTTCTCTCTTGTAATAGTTGCACGTTGGCTTTTCGCAGTTATAAAAAATGTATTTAAAGATCTCATTAGAAGTAGGAAATGTAATACAATAAAAACTCATAATTAAAAAGACAACGAGAGAACTTCCAACAATATTTGGTAATACGAAAAGAAAAAAAAGGAAAAAAAAATGTAAATCTGTAGCATTTTCTTTTTTTTCTTTTTTTTTCTTTTTTTATTTTCGTATTGACAGATATTATAGTAGAAACAATATTTATAAAGCTCCGGTAAAAAAAAAATTACTTGCATTCATCTAATAAACGTTTTCATGAAGATAATTTTACTGCGGTTAAAGGATTTTTGTGTGTTTGTGCAAATATGTTTATTTTAGAAACAATAAGGTTTCTTGATATGCAATTCTTTATGATATGCACGAAAAAAAATAAATACAGAAAATCCCTTAAATTGAACCAACTCTGCCTTCATTTCTTTGGATTCATTCAACACATAGACCTCCGACAGTGCAAGGGAATTATTTTAAACAACAAAAAATGGTTTTATGGTTAAATTGGCGAATATGTTGTTCTTACTTTAAGCTGTCACGGGAAACTTTTGTAATGTTGATTAGGAAATCATTAGATTTTTGCTTGAATATTTTTACAGTTTTGTCAATATCATTCTTTTCTGTCAGTGTCGTCGGTATTTATGCAATGTTTGATTAAATTCTGCCATTTCTAAATTCGTGTTATTTAGGATTCAATTGGAACTTTCTTTTTCCTTGGGCAGTTACAAATAAAAACGAACTTACGCACCTAAGCAACAGAATAAATTTTCCTGGTGTCGTGCGTACGCGCGTTCATGAATGACCGTGTAATTGTATGGCCCAAAACAAGCAAAATATACTGTAAATCCACCTACCAATATAAAGGGTGTTTCATTAAGACGGATTATATATAAGCGTGTTTCCTTAAGACGGATCAAAGTCAGCAATGAATATTATGTGTTATTGGTGAAAATTTATTTATTTCTCTATTGGATCATATTATGTAAGTCATGGCAATTATGTGCGAAAAATAATATCGCCCAAATGTCTGCTAAATCTGAAAGAAAAAGAAAGAAATCATTAATCGCTTTGACTTAATTCACATTTAAAATCGATTATTAGAACATTCTTTATTATAGAGAGTGTGCCATAATGATGGGACACATTTTAAATGCAAGTATCTTGGATTTTAAAAATGAAACTGGGTACTAAATATTTAGGAAATGGATTAGATCTGACATGTTTTTAATTTATTTGTTTAAACGTTATTTTTAAATGGATACTCCATGAGTAGATGCACTGTTTTTATCTATTTATTAAACAGTATATTTATTTATTTACATCTACCGGCCTGAATATTTTGAGAATCTTGTTAGAAAAATGTGCGACCTATACTATTAATAAATAAATAAAGAGTTCAACATATCTAACATTTGAATATTACACCCCTGAGATGGTCACTGCTGACCACGTTTGCCGTAGTCTCTGAATATGGAATCCAGTGAAGTCCGTAATCTCTTCAATATCACGTTGGCAGTGGAGATATTTTGGGAGAAAAAAACAAAATGGCTTCCTTTATACACGTCGCATTGAATATTTTGAGCTTTCTGATTGGTTAACCCTTCTATTGGTGGACTATAAAATGAGTCAGCTCATTTTGGCTAGCTCACTAGTACTTACAGGGTACCAAAAAAACTGCAACAGTCACCACCATGAAGAGAACATGCACGAGCTCCTTATCTCATTTCAAACACATTGCCTGAATCACAAAAGTTTGTAACAGCACGCAGGATCACCTTCCAGGATGGTGCCTGTCGCTTTCAAAAATGCTGTCGGAATTTCCTTTGGGTAGCAACGATGGATCTTTGGCTGGTGAAGTAAGCTTCCACAACGTATACAATTTCTTTTGGAGTTCATATTATGAGGGTCTACCGTTAACAAAAGAGATATCAAATACCTGTTGGAAACAGCAAAATCTTAGATAATATGTTGAACTCTTGTATATCAGTTATGTAATAAATAAATTTTGTAATCTATATCACTTTTTATAATCCAAGGTACTTGCATTTAAAATGTGTCCCATCATTAAAGATACCCAGTATAACTACGGAGATTCTCATATATATATATATATATATATATATATATATATATATATATATATATATATATATATATATATATTCGTATATCTTTATTGGAAGAATCTCTATGCCGCCATTTTCAAACGTCCAACGTTTAATCCAATCAAAATCCAAACTTACATAAGCTAAGAAAATAGTTCTATTTAGAAATCCAAGTAAATGCATGGTTTCGATCGCTGTGAGAATTGCAGTAGACACAGACATAGACACACATAGAGTGTGGGGGGGAAGGCACACTGAATCGGTAACATATATGTAAACATGGTAATGGTAATGGTAATATCAGCCGTTTACTTATAAATATTTTTTTCGGTGTGCACTGACCGATCAGTCAGTGCTTTTGTCGTTGGAAATTCATAAAATCTTTCCCTGAAAATAGCTTTTCAAGTTCAGTAGCTGTTATCTCCCTTTCCAGTACTGATGGGGGTTTTCTTTCTAACCTTTTATTCGAAGCAGGATGAAATGCCAACATCTTGATTATGTATACTTTTTAATTGTATAACAGTTTCTATATATTTTGATATCTGGGCTTTTGTGGGTATATCATAAGGTATGTATTGTCGCGTCCGAAATCAATGGGCTTTTTTTTTTCTAACCACAGTAATTCCAGACTCTCCGTTCATTTTATTTTCCACTTTTTCCAAACTATATGCTTATTCCAATCTCCTGTAACTCTTTTTGTGTTCCAAAATAAAGATTAATTAATTCAGAATGGATTTTCAAAACTATCCTTCTATTCAGGACTTAAGAGAGAGAGAAGAAAAGTGTGTGTGTGTGTGTAAAAAGAGAAATAATGTAAGGAAGAGAAAAAGAAAAAGAGAAACAAGCAAAAAAAGATAGAGTGACATAAGGAAACTATTTTAGGGAAAAATGAGGCTCTTTCCGTCGTATTAATGTCTTTGTAAGATTCACGGTTGAGTGATGGATTACGGCTTGAATTGAGGAATTGAAGGACGGAGTTCAAATTCCAATTGAGTTAATAGCATTCACTTCATTGGGAAAGGTATGAATCTATCTCCTCAATCCACCAGATTAGGTTCTATAGCCCTGGTTAGCAACCGGTACTAGGAAAAGAAAAACTCTGAATTCAAAACTGCATGTAGCCCTGCTGAAGTAAATACTATGCGATTTAAAAGATTACCACGATTTCCTCAGGTTTATCTAAAGAGCGCAACCATTAAAACATTTTTAAAGACAGTCATTTACCTCAATATACAACAATATTTACGAATGTATTTGCGCGTAGATGTACGTTTGCATATCTACAAACCTTTGTATGTTTTTCTTTCTGTGTGTGCGTTTGTGTCATAGTCATTCGCACGACTTTAGCTATATGTGCAAGTGTATAATATCGTAACCTTTCATTTGAAGAGTTCAAAACTATCAGTATGTGTGCGTGCATAAAAATAGAAAGGACACTTATACTTAACATATGAGACAGTTGAAACTTCTAGGTCGCATAATGAAGAAAGAGGGCTAAGAAAATTTGACATTCACAGGTCATATAAAAGAGAGCGGGTATAGAGGAAAACAATGCGTGTAAACGTGTAAATGCTTGACAGGACAGGGTTTAGGAGAGATAGCAAAAAGACAAAAAGACTATGAGCTACGACAAAAAAAAAGAGGCATGACACAGAGAAGAAGAAGAAGAAGAAGAAGAAGAAGAAGAAGAATAGGGACGAAGAAAGAAGAAGACGTAGAAAAAATAAGAAAAATGGTGAGTGAGAAGAAGAAGAAGAACAAGAACAAGAACAAGAAAAGGAATAGGGACGAAGAAAGAAGAAGAGGAAGAAAAAATAAGAAAAATGGTGAGTGAGAATAAGAAGAAGAAGAAGAAAAAGAACAAGAAGAAGAAGAAGAAGAAGAAGAAGGAGGAGGAGGAGGAGGAGGAGGAAGAGGAGAATTTAGGACAAAAATGTCACTCTTTAAGTGTATACAAAAGCTTTGATCGAATGAAGCCTGAAGGTCTTTCAAGGACCACACTTCTTCAAAGATTGTGGACTAGCGTTATAGAATCCCAAACAAAGAACTGTACTAAATAACAGAAACAACATCACTTGACGACAACCAACAGCAGCACAACTAAAATGCTTAGCACATGTTACTCGAAGAGAAAATAATGATATAATCAAGATGTTAACATTCCACACTAGTTCAAAGAAAAGATTAGAAAGGAAATTCCCATCAATACTGGAAAGTAAGATAACAGCTACCGAATTTGAGAAAACTATTTTCCTGAAAATTTGTTCTAAGAGAAAGATTTTATAAATTACATCCAAAGGTAGTACTGGGTACTCGGTCAATTAAGATCAAATGATGCCTTGTATGGAAACGGCTTATATTACCATTACCATTTTCCAAGACGCGGTATATGGTACATATTCTGATAGTTGCAAACTTTCGCGAAGCCTGCGAATATAGTGGTAATCTGACACATAGTACATATCTGTCAGATTAGCGCTATATTCGGTAATTTCGCGAAAGATTGCAACTATTAGAAACTATGGCGACTGTTATCGCAATATTTAGTAATTTGTGTATTCCTGGCTATATAGCCTACGGCTACATCAAGTTGAAACATCGGTTCCCATACGATCAGAGATGTTAAGCAACTTTGAGCCTGTTCAGTATCTATAGGGGTGACCGCTTGGGAATACCAGGTACTGTAAGCTCGGATGTGCAGGTGGTGTAATGGATAATGGCTCAGAATTATCCATTGTTAATCGGAGAGCTGAGTTCCAATCCCAGTTGGGTTCGTTATATTCACTTACGCGAAAATACTATTGAGAAAAGTATGAATCTATCTCTTCGCCCCCAGATATGGGTTAATTAATAAGATATGTATTACTAAAGCAATTATTATCTCCAAAAAATAATTAAAATAAAATTGAGTATATGATATTTATATTTTGGCATTAAATAACCCATAGGGCCTGATATGCCACTAAACAAAAACAACCAACCACGTATGTCTATGTGCGTTTGTGAACATATGGGATGCAAACGTTTGCATACGCGTACGAATGGATGCAGTTCAGTGGGTGAAATTTGTTTTCAAGATCATTTTACTTTATCCCTGCCTCTTCACCTTATCTTTTGTTCTTATGCAATCTTTTCACCGTTCCTTTCATATTTTCATTTGCGATGTGATTGGCTGGGGGCTGTCACTGGTTTCAAATACCACCATTTCCGGCTTTGATCAGAAAGATAAGAAAACAAAATCTGAAAGATAGATGAATCGCGAGACAAGAAGAGTTTGTTGACACTGACTTAACGGGCTTGACCATGTTTGGATGAAGTGTTTCGATGGGGTTCAGAAAGAAACTCCATTAAACTGCAAAAATAGGCCGTTTTACCGTGTAAATATCTCAAACTTTTCGTAAGATTATTAGATTTATTGTTTCAGTCATTTCCATTTTCATCTTATATCTCATCTTCTCCCCCCTCTCTCTCTCTGTTTCTCTCTCTCACTCTCTCACACTCTGTCACTCTCTCTCTCTCTCTCTCTCTCTATATATATATATATATATATATATATATATATATATAGAGAGAAGAAAAAAAAAAATCTAAAAAAAAAACAAAGATATAAAGAAAAATGAGTTGAACTCATTCTTATAACAAATAGTTATAAAAGTAAACCTTGAAATAAAAATTATAAAAAACATGAAAGATAGATAGAAATAAAAGGCAGAAAGGAAGAATTAAAAAAATGAATGGAAGATATATATATATATATATATATATATATATATATATATATATATATATATATATATATATATATATATATATATATATTTTCCATTCATTCATTCTTTATTTTTTTCATTTTTCAAGGTTTACTTTTATAACTATTTGTTATAAGAATGAGTTCAACTCGTTTTTCTTTTATATATTTTTCTTTTTCGTTTTTTGGCTTTTTTCTGTTCACATATTTATTCCTTATTTTATTTTCAACAAAAAATCTTTTTTCGACAAAATATTATTTCTGGCTTCCTTTCTTTCTCTATTTTTCAACTCTTTCTTTCTACATGTTTTCTATTCATCCTTTTGGCGTCTTCTTTATATTCCTTCTTTCTATTGCTTATTTCTACACTTTCTTTTACATCTTCGTTCTTTTCAATGTTCATACACTTTCTTTCTTTTCCTACTGTCTACACTATTTTCTGAGCATTCTTTCTACACTTTCTTTCTTTTCCTTCTCTCTACACTTTTCTATACCTTCTTTCTCCAATTTTTCTAACACTCATTTTTATATTTTATTACCCGTCATTTCTACACATTTTCTATCCATTCTTTCTACACATTTTCTACTCTTCCTCTCTATATTTTTTCTTTTACTTTTCCTACCCCTTCCTCTCTATATTTTCTCCTTTCTACACTTTTCTTCTCATACATTTTTTTCTTTCTCTACACTTTTCCTACCCCCTCCTCTCTATATTTTTTCTACTCCTCCCATCTATTTTCTGCCCTCATTCTACATTTCTTCGTCTCTACACTTTTCCTACCCCCTCCTCTCTATATTTTTCTACTCCTCTATCTACACTTTTTTCCTCTACATTTTCTTTCGTCTCACACTTTTCCTACCCCCCTCCTCTTATTTTATTTTTATTACTTTTCTGCCCTCATTTCTACATTTTTTACTATCCATTCTTTTCTACCCCTTTCTCTACTCTTCCTATCTATATTTTTCTGCCCTCCCTCTACATTTTCTACACTTTTCTCTACACCCCCTACCCCTCTCTCTATATTTTTCTACTCCTCCTATCTACACTTTTTCTGCCCTCCTCTCTACATTTTTCTACGCTTCGTCTCTACACTTTTCCTACCCCCTCCTCTCTATATTTTTCTACTCCTCCTATCTACACTTTTTCTGCCCTCCTCTCTACATTTTTCTACGCTTCGTCTCTACACTTTTCCTACCCCCTCCTCTCTATATTTTTCTACTCCTCCTATCTACAAATTTTCTACCCCTCCTCTCTACATTTTTCTACTCCTCCTATCTACACTTTTCCTACCCCTCCTCTGTATATTTTTCTCCTCCTCCCATCTACTACATTTTCTTTTTTCTTCCCTACCCCCCCCTCCTCTCCTATCTACATTTTTCTACATTTTCTACGCTTCGTCTCTACACTTTTCCCTACCCCTCCTCTATATATTTTTCTACTCCTCCTATCTACACTTTTCTGCCCTCCTCTCTACATTTTCTACGCTTCGTCTCTACACTTTTCCCCCCCCTCCTCTCTCTATATTTTCTACTCCTCCCATCTACACTTTTTCTGCCCCTCCCTCTCTACATTTTTCTACCTTCGTCTCTACACTTTTCCCTACCCCCTCCCTCTCTATATTTTTCTACTCCTCCTATCTACACTTTTTTTTCTCCTCTCTCCTTCTCTCTACACTTTTCTACCCTTCGTCCTCTACACTTTTTCCCCTCCTCTCTACATTTTCCTTCGTCTCTATATTTTCCTACCCCCCTCTCTCCTATTTTTCTACATCTTTTTCTGCCCTCCTCTCTCATTTTTCTTTTTTCTACACTTTTTTCTACGCTTCGTCTCTACACTTTTCCTACCCCCTCCTCTCTATATTTTTCTACTCCTCCTATCTACACTTTTTCTGCCCTCCTCTCTACATTTTTCTACGCTTCGTCTCTACACTTTTCCTACCCCTCCTCTCTATATTTTTCTCCTCTACCTTTTTCTGCCCTCCTCACATTTTTCTACTTCGTCTCTACACCCTTTTCCCTACCCCCTCCTCTCTATATTTTTCTACTCCTCCCATCTACACTTTTTCTGCCCTCCTTTCTACATTTTTCTACCTTCCGTCTCTACACTTTTCCTACACCTCCTCTCTATATCCTTTCTACCCTCCCCTACAACCTTCGTTCTACATTTTTTCCTACATATTTTCCTCCTCCTATCTACAATTTTCTACCCCTCCTCTCTATATTTTCTACTCCTCCTATCTACACTTTTCTACCCCCTCTGTATATTTTTTACACCTATTTTTCTTTACTACCTCCTCTCTACACTTTTCTACACCTCCTCTCTACCAACTCTATATTTTTCTACACTTTCTACCCCCTCCCCTTTACATTTTTCTACGCCTCCTCTCTACACTTTTCTACCCCTCCTCTCAACATTTTTCTACACCTCCTCTCTACACTTTTCATACCCATCCTCTCTACATTTTTCTACACCTCCTCTTTACAGTTTTCCTACCCCTCTTCTCTACACTTTTCTACCTCTCCTCTCTACATTTTTCTACTCCTCCTCTCTACATTTTTCTTACCCCTTCTCCCTACATTTTTCTACACCTCCTCTCTACACTTTTCTACCTCTCCTCTCTACATTTTTCTACTCCTCCTCTCTACATTTTTCTTACCCCTCCTCCCTACATTTTTCTACACCTCCTCTCTACACTTTTCTACCTCTCCTCTCTACATTTTTCTACTCCTCCTCTTTAAACTTTTCCTATCCCTCCTCTCCACACTTTTTCTACCATTCATTTCTACACCTTTAGTATCCTTTCTTTCTATAATTTCTGTCCACACTTTCTTTCATTATTTTTTCTACACCTTCTTTATCTACTTTGCCTGAGTCTTCTTTCTAACTTTTTCTCCTCCTCCCACAACTTTCTTTTTTCGCTTTTTGTGTCTGTCTTTTCCTTCTATGTATGTCATCCTGTCTATTCTATTGTCATACCTTGATCTTTTCGATTTCCATATCTTTTATGCTTATCTGTTATTCTTTTTTTAAAGTCAGGATAATATTTTTAATGTGTACTTATTTATTTAACTATTTATTAATCTGAGCAAAGATCATCACTCATAATCGATTTATGTTGCCGTCTGTATTAAAGAACATGAGCCGACAGTGTCATGGATGTTGGCTGTGAAAGTGCAATTGGCGTTCCCAGTTTAAAGTCAGGGTTTGTCTACTGGTGTTCACTTTCTCAAATATGTCTTTGGGAAAGGCATGAATACATCCCTTCTCCAACAAGCTATTGATTATATTGCAACATAGACTTGGGCAAATTGGGTGGCAACCAGTCTAAAATTAGGAAACACTGAATAGGGAACAATTCTACTATATTGGATTCCTCCACGCGATATCAAAGGTTTAAATGAATCTTTGAAAATGAAAAATCTTTCTTAAAGCTTTTATTATAGATTTAATTTCAAGTTAACAGTTTAAATTTGATATTTTCAATAAGTAAAATACTCTGTTGTATTGCAAAATTAATTTAAATTGCATGGAAGGATTTTTCTTTTGCTAAATTATCTGATTTCAGCGCCATTTTTAGTCTGCGTTTGTTACAATATAATTCTCTTTATTAAAACATCTTCCAAAAATAAAGTATACTTTTCTGATACTTTGATTGAGAAATATTAGCTGATTTAAATTATAATTAATCTAATTTGAAACAAATATTATTTATTCTATATTTAAAATATCACAGAAATGCATTTTTAGCAGTGCTGTACCTGTTTATTTAAGATGTGTTGATAGTTTAATGATCGTTGGATGTTTATCTTATTTTGTTCTGCAGTGTGGTTTTATCTGTAAATTATAATTGAAGAATATAACGTAAACGCCTTTTTTATATAATTTTCAAGTATTCAGTAAACTTAAAAACTTAGGAAAATATTCTCAGCAATCTAATTTTTTATTGAATTTTAGATATTCGGGCTTGAAATTTACGATAGTTATCGCTCTTATTTTCTTATAAAATCGTGTATGAACATCCGTATCTACAAAAATCGGCACGTTTATACAAATACAGAAAAATACGAAATTTTAAAAAAATGTTTTTTTTAATGAATTGTACTAAGCTTTTCAATTTATGATCAGTAAGTATAATTATTATTTAATAATAATAACATCTACAAGGTTGAAATTAACACAGAATTTTAAAAGATTTAAAACTTTTAAATTATTCTAATTATTTTTTGTTAAAATTCATTATTCATCGAAAAAATATTTTTAAGAGCAAAGTATCCTTAATATAACTTATTTATAAAGGCGATTAAAAGCTTTTTCATTAAATGTATTAGTTTTATTACATTTTTTTATTTTACGATACAGAGTAGATTTTCGGTAAATGGTGTTTTAAATGCTCCAAGGAGTTTTGCCTTTATCTAATATAAATATTAAGGTGGTGAAATCTTTAAGTTAAGTAAGTGGAAGTTAATAGATATTAAAAAATATATTTTAAGCAAAATTTTCTAAAATAAAAATTTCTAAAATAATTTAATTCATTTGTGAATAATTTCTGAAAGTTTCATTAAAATCCGACAATTATTTCATTTTTACAAGAATTTCCAAATCATTATTTTTTACCGCAAAAAGATGCTAAAATTCCCTATATTAATTTTACCCCCACCCGCTGACGTAAGAAAAGCAAATTTTTAAGCAAAATTTCGAACTTGCTGGAAAGGATTAAAAAATTTAATAAAAAAATACTTTGATCTCATCTTGTAAAATAATGTAACGATTTTGACCATGAAACTTTGTTTAAGTTTGGCATTTTTTCATCATCGTATGCTCTTTTCTCAGCGAATTAGCGGAGGTAGCTAAACTATATTTTCAAAAATAGTATGTTAATTCACTGATAATAAAGAAAAGGAATTTGTGGAGAGTCCTGATCACCTACGTCCTAAAGGAACGCGTTATTAAGAGAAACAAATACGATATTCATTGTTTTCTCTTTTCGCATCCTTATCCTTCCTTTGTTTATCATCTTATATATATATATATATATATATATATATATATATATATATATATATATATATATATGTTTGGCTGGATTGATAAGTACCGCGCATATAATATATAAATAATTTATATATATATATATATATATATATATATATATATATATATTGATATTTATATACACACACTTTTCACACACACACACACACACATATATATATATATATATATATATATACATTATATATCTATATATATATATTATATATATCTATCTATCTATATATATATATTATATATCTATATATATATATATATATATATATATATATATATATATATATATATATCTATCTATCTATATATATATATTATATATCTATCTATCTATATATTATATATCTTTCTATATATTATATATCTTTCTATCTACCTATCTATCTATCTATCTATCTATCTATATATATATATATATATATATATATATATATATATATATATATTTTTTTTCTTGTTTTCTTTATAAGTATGTATTATGCATAACTGAAGGCTTCAAGCTTTTAAAATATTTAATTTTTTTCCTTTTTACCTATTTAATTTCATTTTCGTTCCTTGTTTTTTTTTTTTTTTGCTTTCCTTTCCTTCGTTATTTCGTTCTAATTTTTCCTCATTCATTTTCTCTTACTTCTTGTTTCTTTTTTACTTTTTTCTTCATTTATTTTCATCGTTATGGTCATGTTTTTTCTTTCTTTCTTTCATTTGTTCTCTCTTTCCTTCATATATTTTTCGTTCATCCCCGATCTGAGAATATTTAGCACTTTATTTTTTCTTTTATTCTCTCGTTATCTCTCTCACCGTTTCTCTTCATGCTCCTCGTGTTCTCATTTGTTTGACGCAAAACGCCGAAATCCGACCATTCTTAATGATGCAAGCTCGAAGGCTTCCTTAGAGCTCAAAATCCTGTTTGTTCAATTATGGTGGACATTCTCCAGGAAACTGGAGAAGTCGTCAGCCATACATAGAGAAACCAGATCGACAATGCCGACCATTAAGATATCATTTCAACCATAGCTCAGATATCGCCAAAATGTCCAGAAAAGCGACTCTGGTCAACGAAGAAAAAGATAAAAATTTGGATCGAAGAAGAAGAAAATAATAATAATAATAATAATAATAATAATAATAATAATAATAGGATTAACTTAATAGATGTCAGTAGTGTGGAGCAAAGTAAGGGAGAAATCATGGTACCACCTAACTAACTTGGTGAGGAGCAAGTCAACTAACCATTGCACTAAGACAAGCTTATTAACATTTACGGAATAAATAAAAATCGAAATCTTAACGATGTCAACTAAGATTTATTATCTGGACAAAGTCTTAATAAGACAAGATGCGTAGATTTTTTTTAATCATTTTCCTCCAAGCAAGGCAATAAAGCCACTAAGATGCAATGGAATTACAGAGTGTGAAATAATGTAAGAAAAGAAACATTATTAAAGAGCTTTAATAATAAAGGAACAAGAATTACGAAGACAGAAGATAACGATTGGCATTAAATAAGACTGAGGTGATGGGTAAGGGGATCAAAGGGACCGCACCCACCTCATGAATATATATAACTTTATGTTACTGAAATACAAATGCGCACATTTTTCTTAGAAGTTACCGTAGTTCATTATAGTTTTAAACATTTTTAAAGTAAAGTTCACTCTGTACATGGCTCGATGACCACTCGAGGTAGAGGAATACATTAAGGGGTAGTTTATGCGGATAAGAGGGGAAGATAATGGTTGACTCTAGATTTGCATGGGTTAAGATTGTTGTGATAGGGGAAACATCTTCTTAGGAGTCTGTTCCATAGGGCAGTGGTTGGCAGGAAGAAGCTGTTTGAGTGGAATACAAAGGGAATGAGGTTGATTTGCTACTATGTAAGTGGCATGGCGTGCCCTAGCCTTGATAGGGCGAGATGACACCGTATTTATAGCAGATACAAAAAGAAAAATACAGAAGACATTAGACAAGGTATCAAAGTAAATTTGGAAGTTAAATTAAATTTATAGTTAAAACAATCATTAGTCAAGATTTTGAAACATTTAGTGTATATATATATATGTGTGTGTGTGTGTGTATGTGTGTGTGTGTGTGTGTTTACTTTGCGATAACTGATACAATTAAAAAAAACTGCATACAAGAATAAATAATATTGCATACATGCATTTCTTAATATTTATATAAAAAATTTGTCAAAAATAAGCATCTGTCTATATTTCTGAGCTGAGGTATTGTAATAATTTACATTGTTCGGACTGTTCCACTGGGCCACGTGTCCTCAAGGACAAGTGACCCCGTGGATAAAAGCGTTGGTTGGATCCGGTGACTTAGTTTAAAGAGCTGCGAGTTCAACACCTGGCTACTGCAGTAGTAAACAAAAACTCCGAGAGTTGAGTTAAAGGGAGATAACCGATACACCCGAAAGAGGCAAGGTATGTAGAACTAAAACAATCTACCCTAGTGGACGAAATAAAGGGTTCAGTTGAAAATTCTAATCACCTGAAGAAGGCCGTCTCGTACAACGGTCATGAATATAGCGATAAAGATGAGGACAACAGTCCGAACAAAAAATGTAATTGAATAATGTAAATAATCTAAATGAAATGTTTATGTAACATAAACGTACACGTAAATTTTGTTAAATTCTTGCAGCTCTCAAACATCTGAACTTTATCGTATGTGGCTTTTACATTAAGCAAGTTTGCTCTAGTGTGTCATTCAGTAGAAAAAAATGGTTTCTCAAGACGAGATTGCTAACCATTGTGCTATGGAGTGAAATAGAATGTCGAACGAAGCCAGCTTTAAAGACGTGAGTAGATGTTTATTTTTCAGAAAAAGAAAAACATCCAGTGTGTGGTTATTCTGTAATCAAAAATACCCTATTGATAAAAGAGGTCAGATAAGAATTACCCGAGTAGCTTAAGCTCATAGAAAGCCAACAGCAACGCAAAAAAACCACACGACAGAGGTATACAGAAGAGCATCTCTGAACTCACATTACGACGAACATTTAAGCAGATTTTTTTTATTCATTCGTATTTTACTGATTATCAATCTTTTACAGGTTATTTAAAGCCAGAAAATATGATCCGCTGCTTCTGCTATATATTTAGAGATTCTTTATAAAATTCAAAGAAGAATCAGCAATATTATTCGTCCTGACCTGGCATATCGGCTTCGGGCACTTCTCCAACGTCGGAAAGTTGTTTTCCTGTGTCTTTTCTATAAATGCTTTCAAGGTATTTGTTCGGATGAGCTCTTCGGAATGGTGTTATTTTGTCTAGTCTCATGTAAATAACTTATAGTGGGTTGATAAGTCGTAAAAAACGAATCAGTCAATCAATCAAGCACCTTATAGATGTCATACTCCATCGCATAACCGCTGCTAGTCAGTCAGATTCTATTCATATTGTAAATACTTACTGGGGCTAGTTTTTCAATTGTTATTTCATTCCCCTCCTCCACAAACAATGAATTTTTACATATGGGGACTAGTTAGTTTTTTCATGGAGACAATAAAGTATTATGGTGGATGTAGTAAGAAAGGTAAGAAAGAATGTGTTGTTTTGGTGTTAGGAATATTGTTGGTATGTTTGGGTCAGTGTTTGTGGTTAGCTATGTTTAAATTTAAGACTGAAGAAGACGTCCTGTTTCCCATTCCCAAGTTTTGGCCTTGTGCCACATTTTCTGTAAATAAGCGGAAATAAATATCGCTCTTCAGAATGATGTCTAGAATTTCGATGTCGCCGTAAGTTCTATGCAAACAGTTTTCGCTTAAGCAACGCGAGACCGGCTCCATGTTTTCTAGTTAACTTTAATTTTCAGAATTTTAAATGCAATGTCAATTTACTGTCTTCCTAATCACTCTTCTATTGCTCTCGCTCCTTCATAATGTTTTCTGTTTTCTTATACTTTCACCCCCAGTAACCTCTTGCGTCTTAGGGGCTTTAGTGCCTTGCTTGGGGTAAATTCGATTTTTTAGATACTAGGGATTTACTGATAAAATCCCTAGTGTTTAACCCAAATCTGCGAGAAGAAGAGGTAGTTTCATATCTTTTCCCCGCGTAAGGGAATATAATGGACCCAACTGGAATTGGAACGGTTCTTCGATTTCCAATCCAGAGACTTTATACTTTAAACCAGCCGCACATCTCATCTTAAGGGCCTGGTATCCTCAAGCGGTTCCCTATCTAAGTACTAAACAGGCTTGACGTTGCTTAACTTCGGTGATCGGAACAGAACCTGTGTTTCAACGTGATATAACCGTAAGCCAACCAGTAAAAGGGGGATAATAATAAAGATACAAAACTATAAAAAAAAATGGTCTTACCTAAACCAGACTAAAACGAAGAGAAATATTAAAAGTGGGAAAAAAATAGCAGTGAAAAGCAAAATCCCAATAAGCAAAGAGAAAAAAGACAAAAACACTAAATAAAAAATAATATAAAAAGTTGGCGTAATTTTCATCGACACTCAATGATAATGATCATATTACTTATGTTATTGTTCAAAGGAAAGGCTGCACCTTATTCGAAGTTGGGCTTCCTTTTAAATGTGTTATTAAAACACAACTATCGTCGTCTACTCTTATAAATTCAAAAATATTCCTGCAGATGTTATTATTGCGAACGGAGAACAACTAAATTCATAATGGAAAGTTCCAAGAATTGGATCTCTTTTGTCATTGGATATCATTGAGTGGTTTTAGACGATAACGGAAAGATGGACAGTAGTGGATCAGATTAAAATGGAAAAAAATCCTTGTTCTGTTATATTAGTCAGAAATGCATAAGATTTCTCGCAGAAAATCCATTATAACAGTTGAAATTTTATCAAAAGTGGCAGCTGTACGACTTTAACGAGTAAAATAGCTGCCTAGGAAGTGTTCGAAAAATCTGAAACCTAATTGTTCTAAAAAGGCCAACAAGGCCATAGATTTTTGAAATTAGGGCAGGCGGGTTACTAGGTAGACTGATTTTTCAAATAGGATTTTTGTTTTGTATAATTTCTTTTATGTTCCTTTCTCCGTGACGAGTATCAATAAAATCACAATTTTAAATGAAACCCGTGGAAATTATTAACAAAAATTATTTACAGAATGAAAGATATGTAAGACCAAACTTCGTAACCTTTTTAAGGGAGTTTTAAGGATAATATTTAGCTATAGATATATCTAACCAAATATCTACCATTGTGTTCCACAATTTTTTACGATCTTTGAAAGAGCTTCTATTTCATCTTCTATTTTCCCAGAACTTGGTGTCAGTCTGGATGATGAACTGGCCTAAATATATGTGTGTGTGTTTTGGGGGGTTTTTTTTCAGATTTCCAGATAATTGAACATCTTCCCATTAAGCGAATTTTCTAAGGACCGAAATAATTGGTAACGTAAAGGTTAAAAATCAAGTGTGTATGGCTGTTGTAGTAGGACATCCCAACTAAGATGTATCACCTTGTCGTATTCTCTTGGAACTCCCATGTTTAAAAAAAAAAAAAAAACAACCCGAAGAAACTTGACTTTCTAGGAGCAGTGACTGTTGTCAAACTGATTCAGCATATATAAAAAGGCCTCAAAAACCAACAAACCTAGGATCAAGATGCCTATGATCAAAGCATAGTATCTGTTCCAGCAGATAGCCAGCCATCCTCACCAGCATTAACGATATGCGATAAAACTGTCCTTTTCAGTACGACAGTTTTCTACGGCTGCAAAGCTGTTCTCTTCGGGACAACAATTCTCAACGGCTACAAAACTGTTCGTTTCAGGACAACGCCTTTCAATGACCTCAAAACCGACCTTCTCATGGCAATACTATTCTACGCCCTTTTCAACATCTACATGGTGATTTTCTAAACCTAGATGTGGCGCAATGGCAAATCTATTAGCAACCACTGAAGATCGAACCCACTTCGCAGTTGTAATTGATCTTGCGAAACAAGCTTTCTAAACATTACGAAGTGCCCTTCTCCCTCTCTGCATGTCTTAGTTTGGCTAAACTTGGAAATATATATTTGTCATCGTTTGGTTTATTGCTGTCTTCTATCATTCAATATGTTTTCGGGCCAATATAGCCACCCCAACAGCCTGATCTGAAAAGAGACGTGTCGTCTGGCATTGTCATAATGGAATACGACACCCCTCCGATTAGCCAATACCAGACGCTTTTAATCGATTGCTGTCTTGATTGATCGGTTCAATTCAGACGAGTACTTATCTAAATTTAACATCTGATTTTGTGGAAGGCCCTCGTCATAGGTAATGACTTTCCAGTACCACCAGACATAAAACATGACCTTCTTCAGATACAGACTGGCTTCGGAACGTTTCCCACTGGGTCATTTCGCTTTCTCCTATGCCTGTTCGTTCCACATTGTTGTAAATAATCTATTTTTCATCGCTTGTTTTCGTTCTTTCAAAAAAAATGTAGCTTTTTTATGCCCTGGGTAGAGAAGTGCAAATTTAAACGCGATATCCTGTGTCGTCCGACCTGGATGATTTTAAATCATCGATTAACTAATACAGGCCTGTCGGGACGTTCCCAGGCTTACAGAACAAACCTACTAAACCGAGCAAACTACTTACTAACAGTGCACACATCCAATGCACCATCTCCATAAATAGCACGTATTTTTTCTATTGGCAAAATGCAACAATTTTCTACTCCGGAAATAAAAGGGCATCAAATGACGAAAATGCAACTAGTTTCTATTTTCTCATTTAACAAAAAATATTTAAAATTCCCAATCCACACATGAATTGTATAGAAAGGCGTGTTGAAATATCTTTCAGAATATGTATATATGTATCATAAATTTTCCGTCATTTGCTTATATATTTTATAAGCATTTACTAAGTTTAACAAGAATTATTTAGTATATGCTCACAAGTGTGGAGCCCCCTTTAGTTCCTGTAGGTTTTGCTGAGTCCTTCTTTGAATTCTCAGTTTCAGCTCTCTCCATAAATTTTCCATTGGATTGAGATCTGGAGATTGACTTGGCCATTTTAGAACACCTATTCTATTTGAACTTAACCATGATTTTGTAAGCTTTGCAGTATGATTAGGATCGTTGTCTTGTTAGAAGATCCAGCCTGGTTTCAAACCCAGTGAATGTACTCTCTGGCATAAATTTCTCTCCAGTATATCCCTATAATATGCTCCATTTATCCTCCCTTCTATTATTTCAATGTTCCCTATACCTTGGTCACTAAAGCAACCCCAGCTCATGATTGATCCGCCTCCAAATTTTACTGTTGGGAATAGTATTCTTCGGCGAATATTCTGTACCCTTCTTCCTCCAGAATTTTGCTACAGCATTTCTGTCAAAAAGTTGAATTTTCCTTTCGTCTGACCAAAGTATATTTTCCCAAAGTGCTGCAGGTTTGATACAATACTTGTTTGAAAAATGCAGTCTAACAAGAACGTGTTTTCGATGAAGAAGTGTATTTTTTTCCTGTAGTCCTTGAAATGATGTCATATCGACGAAGTTAACGACTAATTGTATCCATACTCACTTTTATTCGACTTACTTCTGGTCCTCCCTGAAGTTCTTTAAGCGTAACTCGGAGCTCGTTAACTTTTCTTGCCAATAATCTTGCCATATGTCCCGTTAACTTTCTAGTACGACCAGGGCTTGGGGGGGTGTAGGAATGGAATGACACGAATTCCAGTGACGAACTATCGTACCAACTAAATTCAATGGCACATTTAACTGACTAGATATCTTCCTATAACCAAGTCCATTTTATGAAGTTCAACAATATGTTTACGGAGATCTTGATTAATTATTTTGCCTTTCCCCATTTTGTCAATATTTAAAGGACGATTGACAGAAAAAGAATGACGCAATACTTTTTTTCATTCCTACAAGTAATCTTAAAATTAATCTTGAATCTTCTAAAAAACAAACCCATCCTAATTTGGAACATTCTAGTAAAATTTGAACACTTTTATAAAAAAAAAACTGTTGTAAATGAAAAACAATTGTTTTGTAAAATTTTTAGTTATTAAATATCAGTTTTTCTTCTTTTGAAATTTTTTTTTTTCAAATCTGTTTGACTGAATACCTAAATATACCTTCTACGAGTAGTAGAAGTTTAATTAATATAACTGTATCAGAAATACCTAAAAATACATTTAAATATTATTAAACATTATTTTAAATAATAAATGTATTTATTTTTTAATCAGATTTTTATTTTACTTCAAACGTTATTTTAGTGGATATTCGTATATGAAATACTTTGTAATGTGTCGATCACTTAGTTGAGCTCAGTCACTTTTAAAGTCCAGTTGCAGATTATTACTGTGTTGCCCCAGACGACCGTTAAATACGACTTTTGTTGTCTCTCTCTAGTCCCATGTTCCGTTCTCACATTTATATACGTGCGGGTGAGCTCACCTATTCCCTTTCCTTACATATATATTTTCCTAGTAATAGATAGATAGATAGATAGATAGATAGATAGATAGATAGATAGATAGATAGATAGATATGAACAAACTGAGATAGATAGATATATATATAGATAGATAGATAGATAGATAGATAGATAGATAGATATGAACAGACTGAGATAGATAGATAGATAGATAGATAGATAGATAGATAGATAGATAGATAGATAGATATGAACAAACTGAGATACATAGATAGATAGATAGATAGATATGAACAGACTGACATAGATAGATATGAACAGACTGAGATAGATAGATAGATAGATAGATAGATAGATAGATAGATAGATAGATAGATATGAACAGACTGACATAGATAGATATGAACAGACTGAGATAGATAGATAGATAGATAGATAGATAGATAGATATGAATAGATAGATAGATAGATATGAACAGACTGAGATAGATAGATATGAACAGACTGAGATAGATAGATAGATAGATAGATAGATAGATAGATAGATAGATATGAACAGACTGACATAGATAGATAGATAGATAGATAGATAGATAGATAGATAGATAGATAGATAGATGAACAGACTGAGATAGATAGATAGATAGATAGATAGATAGATAGATAGATAGATAGATAGATAGATAGATAGATAGATGCACGCAAACAGTAACACATTTTCTAGAACATTTTTGCCAATATTAGTCGTGATCTTTATTCTGTTTAACCCGACTATTAAAACTTGGATAAACTGATGACTACTATGAAGAAAAGAAGAAAAAGAGACGAGGTGGGGGAGGCTATGACGGCGGAAGGGGAAGGGAGAGAATGATGCAGACGAAGATAGCAG